TCAGGAACACAACAGAATGCTATCGTACTTTTTTGCGCCAATATTCTGCTTTGAGCAATACAATGCCCAAAGTTCAGAAGAGGTTGATTAATTTGAGTCATAAGTTTATTACAATAGGAAGCAGAAATTCTGGAAATAACAATTTATAAATAAATATTCTACCCTTGGTTCTTTTCTAAGAAGGAAAAAATACAAATAAAGTTTATAAGTGTGTCTTCATGCCTAATGATTTTCTGAAAGATATCTTGGCATACTCCGTCTTCAATACTAAAAGCTATGCCTTAAAAAAGGTGAAAGACTATTTCAGCTTTTACAATTACAAATACTTCCTGCAAGGAAAAGCCCTTTCAGAATACTCTCAGAATATACGTGTTCTTTTTGCAAGAAACAGAACAGTTAATGAAAGACGGTGAGCACAGATCAGAAAAATACAGGCCGGAACAAATTGCCAGATGAAACAACAACATCTTATCAAGAATAGGTGGTATGTCTCAGCAGCTCACAAATGGAGTATCTGTGATCTTAACCAAACATGCATTAAAAGTTGTGGGCAATCTTATGTGTTGAATTTTGTGTGTGAAATTGTAAACAGATAAAATCATAAACTTTCCCTGAGGTGTCAAGAGACAATGATTTCTACATAAATCACAGGGAGCTGATCTCCAAGGAAATACTCAGACCCTTGCAGGATAAGGCTTATAATCGAGTTGATGTTTGAGTTCAATCCCATCTAAGTTTAATGTTTATCAGCAGGATCATATCTGGGAATGAAGCCAAAAGCTCATCACCCCAACTACAAGACAACAAAGGTCATCATGAACATATCGCCTCAGTGCTCTGCTCTGTGCACTGACACCCCAAAGAATGCAGAACCCAGCGTGAGGTCTGCTGCTGAATACTGATAGTCCTCCATGGCAGCGGCTCTGGCTACCTCCAAGATGAGCTCTCACTTTCTGACCATGTCCTCCCATTATACAGGTACATTCTGCTGTAACTAGGAAATCAACGGCAGAGGCATATGGTGTGGGAGGTCAAGCTTTCACAGGAACTAGACCTTAATGATGGATCTTGTTCCCCCAGGAAAAAGGAATGGCTACTAACTTCACTGCTTGCAGAGCTAAAACCAAAACTCATACATGTGAAAGGAAACAGAAAGGAAACAGGATGATAAAGAGGATAGAAAAGAGAAAATGTTTGCTGCTGTTCAGTTAACACTACAAATGCAGAAATAAGAGGGTCAGCTTGCTTATATTCCTTCCATTAAATGGGAGATGCTCAAAGTCTGAACTATAAAATACATGGATATATTAAAGGCGCTTTTGCTTTGTTTTGTAATTCACTCCTGCTGTGCCACTGCTGTAAGCACACACATGGGCATCTGTACATATTGAGCCACAGGCACTTTCAAAGTTCATCTCATGAGCCTGTCAGTTTAGAATTTTACTTTAACAGCAAGTACTGTGCTGTGCGGCCAAAGGTAAGTAACTGATTCAGGAGTGTCGTCCTCACAACAACTTTCTGCAGGGCTTGCTAAAAGTTGTATATCTCTTAGGAAAGCATCATGAGGTGTTTCTGTGCTCCTCTGATCCTAATATTGAAGTTAAGAAGCCAAGGCCAATGCTCTGCAGTCAAATCAAGGGTATCTTACTGGACACTTGATTTGTTGCAAAACTTACTACTCGTTTAGCTTTCACCCTCCAAAACTTGCTGTGACCATCCCTCAGGCTCTTGTGAGAGAGACCACAGTGAGATGTCCTTATTTTCTGCCAAATTCCTTTTTTTCTCATTCACCCACTCACACAAAAATTATCTGTTTCCATACTTCATCCAGTTATTTTGTCCAAGAATTTAATGAAATATTGGTTAGCTAAGGAAATTCCCAGCGTATCATGGATAATATTCATACAAATGTAGAAGTATGAAAGAACGCTTTCCTCTCTGCCTTTAAAATTCCTCTTCTCCCACATCTATAATGTTCATTTAATACCATAACTTCCTCTTTTCATTTTTTCACCCTTTTCACAGACACTTTTCCCATTAATTGTATAATGGTACTATCTCCTTATACTTGCACTTTTTCTGAGCGGTCTTCCTTCTTTCACCAGAAAGCACCTTCATGGTACTTTCTACTACAACAGGGATACCTTCACCAACCTTGACAGTCCTGGTTTCTCTAATTAGACCCAGAGCTCTTCAACTCATGGCCTGCAGACCACATCAGGACAGAATAGCTCGGCATGCAATAAAGGAGGTCTGTGGCAAGATCAATTGGTTTAAGAAAATCTGCTCAGCAGGACCTCAAGCAGAGAGCAAAGAATGACCATCCTGCACTTCCAGCAGTGTTAAGTTCAGAGAATCCCAGTCCTGCACACAAAGTTACAGATAATTATAGACAACTGAAGAAAAGCATCATGCTAAGCTGCCTATCGAGCATCCCTGTCTGAGATAGCTCAGGTGTTGCTGGCATTGGATGTAGAAGAATGAACACGGCATGGTCTGTCCCCACACACCTGCTCAGACCTCACACACTGAGAGAGAACTCTTAGGGGATGTATCTAAGGTAAAGAGCATTTAGGTATCTAAAAGCAATTTTTTTATATTAGTGTTTGGTTAGTTCGTTACTTTGATAATAGTTCAGAAATTTGGAAGAATTAGAAAAACTTCTGGAGCTCACAGACTTGACTAGAAAAAAGGAATATAGGAGAGAAATCTGTTTTCCAAAGCTGTTCTTTTGATTTGGCACAGGTGAAAATAATTTCAAATCAATTGTCATCATGGTTATGGTAATATATACAAATAAATAAACTTGTCAATTATTTTGAGAAGGTAAAATACCTTAAAAAAAGTAAGAATGTAATGAACATCTACTTCCTTTTCAAGGAAGTGGGTAATTGTAATACTGAAAAGTCCAGTTCAGCCACCGTAAAACAAAATCAGGAGCACTGGGAATGCATCCTACTAGGCACTGGGATCAGTAACATATTTGATGAGGTTTCTTTTTTTTACAAAGAAAAATAAAGTACGCATGCAAGAACTGTATTTAAATGGAACCAGTCACTCCAAGCTTGTTTTAAGGATAAGATATTTTTAAGCAGATTTGTTCATAGAAAAGCGAGGTTGCCTTGGCAACTGTAACTATAGAAAGCCAGAGTAATTACTTTCACAAAATCCTTCCTAGTGCTTTCTCCCTCTTAATAGGAATGTGTAAATACCTTGTTTTAAGCTACGTTTATCAGATATATTACTCATCATTGATTCTACCCTTGAGGCATAGGAATCCAAAAGTATGTGCTTAAAGCAGGTTGAGTAGTGCAAAACCAATTTGCAAACACTTAACTTCAATTCAAAAATGAAAGTCAGATCACGCATACTTGCTCTTTGAGGGAAGTGAAAATTTGAAAAGAATGCAGCATTCTGTTTTAATATTGCAAGATCTCGTTGAATAAACTGTGCCATATATTCATCTTCAAACACAATAAGGATTCACTTTTTGTGAACAGCAGGCAGAAGGAATTAAGATTGCAATTTAATATACTTAAACTATATTCATGTAAACAGAGCTACTGAATCATTGCACAGCTCTGCACTGAATTCTGGGGACTCATCTGTGTGACTGGGACAAGATTAAGGTCTCTTGTTCACCTCTTCATTACATGGTAGAAATGTACTCTGGCTCCCCCGGCAGTGTTTGAGGTCCATCATTAGCGATATTTGGCATAGTTCTGCTGACCCCTAGGCCTGTCGTTCAATAACTTAGCCAGTTTTTCTGCTGTGCTTGTTAGAGTAGATGATGTCCATTTAGGTTTGATTTCTTCCTGTGACCTTCCTTGTCTGATAAATAATATTTTACCACAGACCTCCCTCTCAGGCCATGCTGTTCACCTTTGGTTTACTGATGCTATAGAATATATCAGCCACAGGAATGAGTTCTTGCACTGAAATAGGGATGGAAATTAAAAGCAGTTTGAAAATTACCTCTTTTCATCCATGATCAGAAGAGTATTGTTTTCCCCAAATCTGCTTCCTGCCTGTACAAATGCTGTCCTGAGTTATAGTTGCAAACCACATACTAGGAAACCTATACTGTTACTATGTAGCTATAGTCATACCCTCTTTCTTTTTCTTGTCTGTGATTCTCTGACTTAAATTTACAATGCCCTGACATTAATATTCAAACAGGATTCCAGCACCCTGTTATGAATACTGAAAAGACTTTTCTTTTGTCTGTTAAAATGTCACTAATAAGTCACACAGTATTACAAGTGATCAAGAAGTGCTGTCAGTGTGGATGCCACTAGGAATCGGGGAAATCAGTATTTTCCATGATGCACATGAAGATTTTCTTCTGATCCTGTAGATCTGCAAGGTGCCAGAAGTCACACACATTTACTTATGCTGCAGCATCATCGTCATTCCAAGCAGTCCTGATACTTCTCAAATCCAACCATCCATGCCAGTGTGGCTGGGAGACTAGCAGCATTTAACACAATGGGTCTCAAATATATGTGCTCAGCATCTGTCTTCCAGTAATTCCAATGCGTACAGAGACGCTAACGTCCTCTAAATAATCAGAATGATCCTTAAATTTTCACTCATCTCCAGTGATTTCACAGAGACTGTGCTTCAGTGAAGTGTATTTTCAACATGGTATAAAGACACTCAAAAATCCAATGTGATATTCACGAACTTTAATTTTTGACTAGCTTCTTAGTGATTAACAGCAAGACTACTTAAAAAATATAGCTACATAAGATGGATGCATTGAACAAAAATGATGTATCAAATCCTGAATTTTGAAGTCAAAACAGACAGGAAAATTTAAACCAAATGAGGATCTGCTGTGATGTCTGTTTTAGGCTAAATTAAACATAGCCTTTTAGCCTGTGCTCAGTCATCCTAGCTCATGTTCACTTTTATGTAGTTCAACAAACTGAATTATCTGAGATCTCTCCTCACAATACTCAAAGAAATACATACATTGTCCTGTACTCTTTATTTACCTTTTGATCAATATATTTGTTTTCTTCAATTGCTGATCTTTTAGAGTGGTCACATGAGGAAGAAGATGCTGAAGGAAGTCTTCTCAGCAAACAGCTGGTATCTTGTTGCTGGCGATCAATAAACTGCTTCATAAAACTCTCCCTTGTGAACAAACAGAAAATATTGATGGATTAAAAACACAGAAAGACTTAATATTTGTTTTTTTTTTCGTGATGTGTCACAACTCATTAGTGCTACGATGGATAAACGTCAAGAAAAACTTGTACTGGGCTATAGATGTATAAATGGACAGAGAGATGAAACAACTGATAAATTCATTTATTAAAGAAATATGCAACTGATTTGAGAGTTGGGTGGCTTGTATGTAGCTTCAAAGAAAATAATTTTATTCCTTTTAATAATAATTCTTTTACTTATTTATTTACCAGTTAAAGTGGTAAATATTTGAAGTGCCTTTTGCAGTTTTCAGCTCTTTTGAGCTCATTAAACAGTGAGTTGTTGCTTCAGTGTAAATCAAATGCTGATATAATCCAAAGGAAACATACTCTCTGCAAGAAATTCTTTCTTCGAGATTTCAAACAACATCTGTTCATATAACTGCTTTGATTGCCAGTATTAAGGTGCTTCAGCAGTTCTCTGCCTCACATATGCCATGTTTAAAATGCAGAAGCATTTCTGCTTACAACAAATGTACATTTATCTTGCTGTATTCTAAGTTTAGTAGAGTTGCCCTATTTTCGGCGTAAATTAACTATGTCAAAACTAATTTTCATCTGGAGATATAGTTCTACATAGCACAATAGCTTCAGATTAAAAGATATGATTTGCTATGATAGTTTGAAGTCTATTTCAGTAGTTAGTATGTTCACATATTAGTCTAGAGTATGCTGGGAAAACCACAGCTAGAAAGAAATACCAGAAAAGACTAAGACTCGGACAACAATGCCCTCAATATATAACCAAACAGTATTTTGGCATTGAAAGCAAAATATCTAAGACTGCTTCCTTGAGGTTTGGAAGGTTGCTCATCCTGACCCTTCTGACCAGCATTATTCTATGATTCCTTTGTATTACTTCCTTGTGAGTGTAATCAAAAGAAATGTAACCTCAGGAGATCCAGAACAATGACAGCCATCTTTCATACCATCCTCTCTCTCAGCACGTGCTCGGTGGGGATACTGGAATGAGCATGGCCAGAGAACCTGTTTGGCCAGCCTGTGCTGATTCAGCTGTCTTGGCAGCCTGTACATACTAGCGCAGCCCTTGGATTTCTTTAAACTTTTTTTTGGGATCATGCCAAGAGTAATTGTACTGTAACTGATGATCTAGTAGTCAACTGAGGATCTGATCCTTTATTAAGGTGAGTTTTACAGGAAAGTGGTGACTAAGCAAATCCAAAGAGGGGACAAGGTCATCACAGACTAACTGGTATTGGATGGCTTGTGTTATCCCCTCTAATGATTTGCTGTCAGTTGATTTTATCTTTAAAAAGCTACATGAGAATTCATTAGACTGCTAGTTGTGTATGTCAGCCAAGAATTAAACATCCAAATGGGAGCTGAGAAACAGCAATGCACTTTTCAATCATACTGTACCTGTGTCGGTTCTGATCAATCTAGTTGCTTTCATGAATAAGTTATAAGGAATCTAAGGATTTTATTTTTTTTTCCAAAAGTAAAAATGAAGTAAACCCAAGACGTTAACCTCCTTTTGATGCCAATGTTAATTCTGTTTCACTTCTGATTTTTCTGAACTATCTGCTAATCCACAAGCAAAATAGTTAAATATTTTGGGTGCTATGTGGCACCAGACAGGTTTATAGCATACTAGCAAGGGAAGTATTTCAATACCTTATTTTTGGAACTGTGAAATCTGAAGGAAGTTTGGAGATTTTCACCATTTGTGGCCTGTTTGGAAATTTTTCAAAGATGCGAAGACGCAATGGAAGCTTCTCCTTTGTATCTGCATTTGCTTCACTTTGCTTTAGCTGAAAACAAGGAAATGAAAAAAATGCTAGAAAGCGAAATTTTGCTCTTGTTTTTCAGAATCCAAATAGTAACGGCAATCATTTAAAGAAACAGAAGATGGCAGCAAAGGACTATAGAGGGTAAACTTGATGCCTGGAGCTTATTGGTCTGCTTGTGCTAGAAGCTGATAAATACCTAACAATACCATGTCTTTAGTTGAAAGTCATAAAATGGGAGGATTGCTAATAATTTTAATTTTAAAATACGAAGCATATTAGTGTCCTATTCAATATGCTTATTTCTATGGGTTTTTTTACAGATTCCTAACACTTTATCAAGCAAATAAACATCCATGATCTTTTCTTATTGGGCACATTTTTCTATACATGTTGACAGCTCTTCAATATTCAAATAGAACATTGCATTTTAAAAGGGAGTAATTTTAAAGAAATCCAGCTCTCAGAACATGAAAATAACAAGAAAAGATGAGTATTATAAGTAGTAACAAAGGACTCAAAAGAATCCATCTACATCAGCAATTCTGATACTGAGCTGCAGCAAATCACATAACAAATGTTGCATTTGTAAGTATCCATAAACAGTTATACCATGGAATAACACACATCTAAGTACAGAAAAGGCAGATACATCTATTTATGTGGACAGATGATCACATCTAATGATCTAAGATAAAAAAGATATGATATGGAGATATTCCTGAATTCTAATTACCTTATGTAGCAATTCAGTTGTGTCATTGCAACAAAATACCAAGTCAAAAAGAATCAGTGAAATTCATGTTTACATTTATTTTAAATGATATGCGTACTGCATATTATTTCAGTAAGCTTACATCTAACTGAGATTATTTCAATTCTCTTTCTCCCATCTGCTTGTGAGCACAGGTTTAGAAGCTTATGTTTTAAAACAGATTTCCACCATCAGCACCTGCAGGGAATACTGCTGATAGATATCAGCTATCGATTTTTACCAGGAGGAATTGCCCAGGAAGTCGAATGGAGCTTTAACTCTCATTTGCACTGCCTAGTGAAATGCACGCTCCCACAGCATGCTGTAGAAGAGCAACTGCTCTGCTGCACTGTCATGCTGTCAGCAACACCAGCACTTCCAGCCATAGTACAGCTTAAACTGAAAATCAATTCATATTTGGTTGGATGTAAGTTATCATGTGGACTGAAAACTCTTTGAAGAGCTACAAAAAGCCTCATGATTAATGGTAAAACACCGAGTCAGAATAGAAGTGGAATATTGCATAAATCTCTATTGTATCCAGTCCTATTTAATTGCTTCACTAATGATCCTTAAAAGGAAGAAATTATGACATTAATGAAATTCACTTGATATTAAAATGTGAAGAGTTGCAAATACCACAGAGGACAAGGAAAAGGACAGATTTAGAAATAGGGGCAGGAAATAACAGACTGAAATAATTCTAGAGCAAGAATAGGAGCAGAAACTAAAGAAGAACTTGTACTTCAATACAGCATCAAAAGGCCAAATTGGGCATTGCCAGCCAAAGGCTATGTTCACAACCAATCTCTATTGGTTAGACATTACACAGTTGTAGAAAATGATACAGAAGTCCACAGCTCCTCTCCATAAGGCTTTGAAGAGACCATACTTGGGTATGCACTCACTTCTAAATTCCATTTTATCAGTCTCAAACTGACAAGCCCAAACAGTGCAGAAGAGGGTCATGAAAAGCAGGGGAGAGGTACATAAACCAACTAGGACAAGGGAGAAAAAAGGAGAAAAGACGAAAGGAGGCCAATATTTATACTACATCGACCACAACTTAAAGGTGAGATGATGTAAATTTATGTAAGAAATATTTGAAAACATATTATTTCAAGAATATAATAGAGTACCCCAAATACAGGAATGAGAGTATGAAATTAAGAAAGGGAATTCTTAGGCTGAGAAAAAAGACTACTGCCCTTACAGGGAAATCTCTGTATGTTCAGAGAGGTCTCTGGAGGGAAGTGCCTCATCATTTAAAGTTCAGACTAGACAGAACTTGAAACACCAGAGCACTGCAGAAAGAAATCCCTCACTGACAAGGAAATGAAATGGATAATCTAACAGGGCTTTTCTGCAACATTGTACTGTAGAAAAGCTTTGGGAAGGGGTAATTTTCGGAGGGAAAAAAGGTTTCCAGTTTCTGCTGGTTTGCTTTTTAATAAGAAATCATTGCACAAATATGTAGATTTTGGCATGGACAATGTCTCTTACAGCTATGAACTCCTGTTCGCAGAAGTCGGTCTATACAGAATAGACAGCATATGATAGATTGCAATGTTGTCTGAAGGCTCAGTGCAGAACAGATCAGGGAGAGCTTGGAAGAAGAAAACTGTATAGTTCAAAAGGTAAGCAAGGGGACAGCAATAACCCCCATCTGAACAGAGGAATGATTCAAGATAGGCTTTAAAATAACCTAAAGCCAAACCATTTCTACAGAATATCTCCAATTACTCACGCTGTGATAATATTACATATTGGGGAGCACGAGGCATTTAGCTTCACTGAGTTCTTCTCTACGCACTTAGGGTGTAATTGTTGCTCCACATGACATACATCTTACTTTGTATCGTTGCTTAAAACCTGTATATTTCAACTTTCTTTACTGCATAACAAACACTTATACTTTTAAAGGTACAAGACTACATTGAAATGTGGTAATAATGGTGCAGAGTGTTCCTAGTAACAGCTAAACCCAAAATAAATTATTGAGACATTTTATCTATGATTTTTAATTGTATTTATTATTATTACTCTTGGCAAGGAAACGCACACTGGTCTGATTTGCTCTGGGTGGGCCCTCTATCTCCAGCTCCGAAGAGCCTACTGGGAGCAGTTCACCAACATTTTGTCAGCCTGGCCTGGCTAAAATTTCTTGTGGCTTCTGGAACGGTTCCTGTAAAGCCATAGAAGGAATTTATGTCTATTTCCACTATTCCATGGTGCTTGAGTTTATAGGGCCATATTTAATGGCACAATACATACAGCACAACTGCCTGCTCCGAACCTAGATCAGAAGAACTTATCCAAATAGTACATAAATGGTGAGGAGTGGCAGAGAGGAAATCTTAATTTGGCATTCCAATGGTAGCTTGCACAGCACATTCAGATAGGGGTCCCTGAAATCCAAGCTATCCCTGATCTGTTCACATAATTGTCTCAGATCAATACAAAAGACAGCTGTGAGAAAGGCAGATTTATTGGTGAACAGAGCATATCTGTGGGGTTTTTTTCTCCCAGAAAGGTATTATGGCTATGTCTCCATGTGGTTCAGGGCAGTTTGAAGTGAATGCAAAACAGATTCTTCTTGGAGGAAACAAAACCCCAAGCTCCACCTCGGTTACACACAAAGGCACTCCAGGCACTGAGACTGACGTAAGGATCAGAATCAACGGTGGCTTTCAAGCCCACATGTGATGGGGCACGTAGCCCAGTGTGAGACTGAATCTCTTCTGAAGCAAAACCTCTTCAACTGTGGCGGCAGCAGCAACTGCTGCACTGACCCTCTCCCACGGCGCAGCCCAGCTGCTAACGTAGGACGATCTCATTCGTACTACTTAATGCAGCTTCAGCGGTAAATTTCTTTGTGGCTTCAAGGCTTCCTTACAAAAAGGTGATTGCTAAAACCAGCTTTAGCGTAATTAAGATTTGGGCCCTTAAAACTGAAGAGAACCTGTAAGTGGTTGTCCTAAATACATACAGTAGCATGAATGGTGGTGAAAATGGAAGAGTGAGGTAGAGGCAGAGGGAATAAAAGAGACGGTGGGTAGTGACTAGTGAGAAAAAGGGGCAGGCTTAGCTCTTCAATGCAGATGCACCCTGGCTGTGGTCAGACAATTGTGCTGGGATGGTCAGAAAAGCAATCACTGCCCCACTGGAGACAGCAGCCTTCCCAGCAGGGAGCTGGCATCTCCCACGTAACCACACTGGTCTCACCGTACCAACAGAGCCACACCGGGAGACTGTTCACAAACCATCCCGCCTCTGCCAGCTACTAAAGTTCTCTCATTGTGTTTCGGAAATTAAAGCAGTGACATTTAAAGATTAAAAAAACCATAACATGCAGTGTTATGCAGAACCCGAAGAGGAAAGTAAGGCAACAAATGGTGGTTCTTCTTTTTTTTAATCTTAAAATACTGTAGTACTAGCACCACCCAGATATTAATCACTGCAAGCGTGGTCAGGGTGAAAGTAGTGAGTTCTTTTGAAGCGCATTCTGCAACTTCTTTGATAGCAGTAACTGGAGCTGCCGAAAAAGCATTAAAGCATTGGAGTGAGACAAGCCAGCAGGACCTGATTAGAAAAGCTGCATTCCCACAGTCTCTCCCTACAACCACCAGAAGAGACACGCCACAGCGAACTTCAGATCTTCAGGCAGTCGCAGGGCGGTGTCACGCCTGCCCTCCAGCCCACATCCCCTTGCACAGAAGCAGGATGTGAGAAGTGTCTGCACACGCAGAGGTCTCATTACGGACTCAGGTGGGAGCTGACAGCCTGCAAGGTGGAAGTGCTCCGGGTTCTGGTGATATGAACGAGATCACTTCAACAGTTCAAAGGGCTAACTAAGGTATCTCTTAATATCACCAATTTGCATTTACAGACAGAGACATCCTCGAAAGTAATGTTCTTGGCAAAGCAAATCGAAAGCTCAAATTCAACACAGTCATTGAGTCTCTAAGACATTGACACTTTGGTGAGAACATGCCAAAGGAGAAACAGAGTTAACCATAACAAAAGGACTAAGACCTACCCTTCCTAACTTTTTCTTTTGTTCTCTATTCATTCAATTCTGACCATGGAAGAGGAGCCAGCAACGCGCAAAATGTAAAGTGTGAAAAATGTCCAGTTTTCATATGGCCTGTGAGGAAAGTGTATGTGAAATTCACTTAAACGCTCTGCAAATATTTCAATGAAATTAAATGATTATGAAAAATTTACTGCAATGCTCTAACTCTTTCATTTTAGTTGACAGTTTTCATAA